CTCACCAGGAGGCAGGTGACAGTGTGCGCATGCTGGGGAAGGATGAACACAAGTTTGAACATCCCATTTCCTTCTGAGGGGCTTCAATCCAGGTAAATTGCTTCACATTTGGATAAGGGATTGAAATGTGGAGGCAACAGGCTGGATCATGGATTTAGCCCCCACCAACTTTTCTTTTGGTTTGGACACATCATCCAGGGCATCAACTTTTTCCCCACAGAAACCTGTCATCAGGTTGTTTTCAGGAAGAGAATGATGGAGGATCTTGATTCAGGCATCTGGGGTGTGATCTACTGGTCTCAGGTTTTCCGATTTCTGTACCCAGGGAACCAACTACATTCCTGCCTCAGATCTCTCATTCATCAGTGTTGTGACTCTGGACAGGTCACTTAACCTCTCTAAATTTAATTGCCTTCAACTGCAAGAGGTGTGCTGTGTCCCCTGTTCTGCACCCCGCATAGGGTTACAATGGGGATCAGAGGTGATGAAAACAGACATTCTCCATGAACTGTGGGCATCCCTCCCATGTAAAGGTTGGAGAATAAGCTTCCATCCTCCCCTGTTCTGCAGCCATCCCCTCTCTGTAGTCAACCACCAGCAACATGTAGCTTATTCTTCAGACATTTAATAACTGAAGTCTTATTGAGCATTTGTGATGAATCAGTACTTGGTCTTAAAGCTTTACTTGTTTGTAATAATGATAGCCCTATAATATAATAGTAATAAATGGGCCCTTCAAGTTTTCATATGACAGCACAGAGAACTGAGACACAGAGCAGTTATGTAACTTTCCCAGGGTCATGTGACATCTAAGTGGGATTTGAACCCAGGTCATCAGGCACCTGCACCCATGCTCTCTGTCACTGTGCTCTGCTGCTTGTGTTGTCTCATCTAAATCAAAGTATTTTCCCACACAATCCAAGTGTTTTCAGTGAACATTAAACTGCGTGCTTTTCTGGAAGCACAACTTTAATGCAAGTAGTTCTGTTGGGCAGCGTGTGAATAATGGTATCAAAAGTTTGAACTGAGAATACCTTATTCTTGACTTTCCTGTGGTCTTCTGCCAGCAGTATGTCAAAAGCTCTCTCTAGTGTGATTGCGTATCCCAGGATCTAACCTTATGGATACAAAGAGAAAATTGTACTTTGTTTAAGGAGAGATACAGCCCAATTCCAGCAGTGGGTCAGAACAATGGGCATCTTGTCACATGCCAGTGTGCACCACACACAGGACTCCATTGAAGGTGCTGTGGAAATTCAATGTGTAAGTTAATTTAAGGATAATCATCATAATTTTTCCATGTCCCTTTTTCAAGACAATACTTTAAAAATCCTACGCCATGTCTTTCTTCATTTACATAGGAAAAGTTTAACTTACCAAGTCAATCAGTAGTGTTTCAACTACAGGAGTAAAGATGCATTTATTGTCCAAATTTGGCTCACGTTTAACAATGAACCATGTGTTGAACTAATATTTATATATCAGCTGCTCACTTAGCATTAGCCAAAATGATCTCTCATGGAAATACTGCTGCCATATTATTCTTTAATTAGTAGACTTTACTATTTAAAACAGTTCTATATTAATAACAACAACAAAAATTCGAGCAGATAATAAAGTTTTCATATCCTTCCGCCCACCTGCCAGTTCCTACTGTCATTAAAATCTTGCATTAATGTGGCGCATGGAACAATTAATGAACCAGTATTTACACATTGCTGTTAACTCAATTCCTTAGTTTACGTTAGGATTTATTCTTTTGCTGTACATTTCTACATTCTACATTCAAATATATCCTGTCTTATGTCACCATTACACTGTCATGGAGGCTGATTTAACTATCCTAACAATACCCTGTGCTTCACCTATCTTCCATAATTGATTAGGACAAAGACTTAGCCAATAATTACAACGGAATGTTTTACCTAGAATTGAATCCAGTCACCTAAGAAAATATTGCGTGTAATCAAATGAAAAATCATATAGAAAAGAGGATAATTGCAGTGGTAAATATATGTACCTTTGGAGGGTGAAATTGTTTTGGGAGGTGACAATAAGATAGCACCAGCTCCGCAGGATTTCACAATAGGTGAGAGGAGTAATGGAAATGTGTAACCGAATCACTGCATGTAGTTTAGGATCATTTGTGACTATTTCACATTGCATTAGGCTGCTTTTTTCTACAAAGCCAAATACTTTTTTCTCATTTATTTTCTGCTCTTTTCATTTCTCTCTCCTTCTTCCACTAAGCAAGACTGGCCAATCTCAGTTCAGTCTATGCTTTTTAAAGAATCACATCTGTACACTCCAGCCACTTCTCTAAATAAAGCAAAGCTCCAAGAGTATTTCATGAGCAACACCACCGCTGAAGGACTGTTACTCTGAGTCCTCCTAGCACCCCAAGACAACAAGTCGGAGGAGCTTCCTACTGGCAGGGCAGACAAACAGGCTCCATCAAGGCCAAAGTAAGGGTGTCTCTCATAGAATATGTCTTCTGATTTTAGAATTAGTTTCAAATTGAAATACGACATATACATTAATTATGCTAGAATACATATCTTGGGAGAATAGAAGGGTAGAAGGTTATAAACTGAATATTTACATTCCCCCAAAAATCCATATGCCAAAGCCCTAAACTCACATGTAAATGTATTAAGAGGTGAGTCTTTTGGAGGGAACCTTGGATGAGGTTATGAAGGTGGAGCCCTCATGGTGAGTTAGTATCCTCATAAGAAGAGCAAGAGAATAGAACTTCCCTTCTCCTTACTGTGTGAGAAAACAGATACAAGGGGGTGGTGTACAGGCCATGAAGAGGCCCTCCCCACACACCGAGTGCACGGGCACCTTGTTCTTTCCCATCCTCCTCTCCAGAACTATGAAGAATAAATGTCTGTTATTTAAGCCACCCCGTCCATGGTGTTTTGTTACAGCAGTCTGAACTGACGAACACAAACTCTTACAAACAGATGAGGGTTCAAGGGGGCATTTAAAAATGGCTGCATCACTGAACCATCCCTTATTGCCTAGTGGTTAACGTTCCCTGCCCACCTCTTCAGCAGCCTGGGTTCACTTCCCAGTCACGGAACCACACCACCTGTCTGCCGGTTGCCGTGCTTTGAGGGCGGTTCACATAGAAGAACTAGAATGACTTGCAACTATGATATACAACTATGAACTGGGGCTTTGGGGAGGAAGGAAAAGAAACGGCAGAATCAAGTTATAAACTGTGTGGAAGGGGGACTTATCCTTAGTAGCAATTTCTCTTTGGATTAAGAATTTTGTAATTGTAGACCAAAATGGACTTGAGAATTACAGCCCATAGGAAAAGCTAGTATTTTTCCATGTGTCCTATATGCTTCTGGTGCCCATGGCTTGACTACTGCTTTCTCTCTGGTATTCTACACTCACTAAGAAGACACAAGATCTGATAAAACCTACAGAGTATGATCTGACCCTCAGTGTTTTCTTTTCTCTAATTGTAGGTGACCTCAATAACACGTGAAAATGGTCTGCATTCTGGAACACTCACATGCTGAGGAAAAAATTCAGATGAACAGAAAGGTGGGGCTTTCTTGCTGGCCTTAGTCTGGAGAGCCTCCATGATTCCAGCTTCCTGCTGGGAATGAGGATGAGGCATGTAATGTAGGAACTGTTTTCCCAGGTAAAGAACTATGGCAACATTCTGCAGTCCCTGGAACAGCTGTGTTCCCTTCAGGGGTGTGGATTTGTGTGCATGGGGCCTTAAGGGTGCCTGTGTGTGAGTCTGTGGGATGTTGTGAATGTGTCAGGAGTGCATATGACAGAGAATGTCAGTTCTCCATAGATACGTCCTAGTTACACAGCACAACTGTAAGTGCCACCGTCCTCAAAGAAAACCCCATAGCCACTGTATGATTTACATACCTTGACTTGCTCATCACTCACCACAGCCATATCTGTGGGTGTGTTTGCTGTTCCCACTCCTCAGAAAATGAGGTGCAGTGATGAGTGACCCAAGCTCTTGAGCTCCTGTGTGAAAGGGTCTAAGTGTGAATGCAGGGCTGTGGGCCCCAATGTTGAAGCTCTGAACTACTGTATAGCTTTCATCACTCCACAATTGGATCATTAGTCCCAGTGCAAGGGTGTCCCAGCATCCATCCATGTTCCTGAATCACCTGGGCATACAGAGGTCTCAATCACTGTCCTTCATTATAAGGTAGCCTCTGTGGTCACATCACACAGATCATATATTGGTGCACATTACCACAAATGTTGGCATAGTAATTAGCAGGAAAAGCATGGAGAAAGCCCACATGCTTCTGGTCAGCCACAGATTCTGAGAGATCCAGACACCATGTAGAACAACCTCACCAACTTTTGTTGGTGTGGGGTCATTCCGCAGCATCTAGGCCAGAATAGATAAGAATATAGGTGATATTTCAATGGTATTTGATAAGATTATAAAAATCTGGCTAAGAAGTGTTCAAATTCTGTGAGCTATCACCCCTGGGAAGATTGACACATGAGAATAACAGTACTACCTGGTTATTACCCTGGTGCCCGTCACTCATTGTAACTCTCTTGTATAGCTCGGTCAGAGAGCATCACTGCTCACCCAGCCCTCCTCTCTGTAATGAACTTGCCCACTCCTGGCTGGCTAGTGTGAACCTGGCTGGCTGCTGACCAATGTACACACACATATAGTTAGAGAAGCAAGACTGGAAGTGAAAATATCACATGCATGATAATGTTTAGTTGAAATGGTAGGACATCCATATTTTCAAAATTTCTAAAATTGATTATCTTTATGGCAAATATTTAGTGACTAAATAAAAGAAAAATTTTCCTGGAATTAGATCAGTCTCCCAGTGTAAGGTTGCTTTTCATCAATTGGAAAATCTCATACGACGGAGGGGAGATGCAGCATACATGGCTCCATGGAGGCTGAGATGGTTTGGAGGAAGTCGAGAAGCCAGTGGCAGTTAGCTGGATTGAAACATGGGAAAGAAGAGTGATGGGAATTCGTTTAATCATAGCATGTATTTAATTCCATTTGTAAGTGGAACACTGCACGTTGGTTTAAGCTGTCTTTAGCTCCAAAGCTGAGGATTCTGTGTCTCATTCTTCTCCTTTTCCTCTTCTCTTCTATGCTTCTCCTGCCAAAGAGGATGACCTAGCAGCAGCTTATTCTATGCTTGTTAATCAACCACATCCATACACTCTAGTTCTGTATCCATATCAAGCAGGGGTCCCTGAGTAATTCCTGAGCAACACCACCAATGACTGACAGTTAATCTGTGTCCTCCTCACTCCCCATGAGGGCCTTTTGGAGGAGCTTTCTCATGAGAGGGTGGAGACCCGATCTAATGCCAAGGTAAGGCTGCCCATCTTTGTCTGAAATAGATATGGTGGCTTGTTAGTTTATTTCTCTTTCAATTGAACTCTTGTATGAATATCTGACAATGTACATGATAGAAGATACACACAGTTTCGTTGTTGGGGGTGAGTTGTCAACTGTGACTCTTTTATCAACTGATGCCTGATTCAAGAGGACATTCACAAATAAGATCACCAGCTGACAAACTGAGTGGTAGGGACTTGTCCTCAGCACAAATTTTCTTCCTGGGATTAAGAAATTTGCAATTGAAAACCAATAAATGGTAAATCATCCTGGAAAAGCCCATGCTTTTTTCACTGGTGTGTTCCACACTTGCTTTGGGATCTTTGACTAATGATGATTTCCCATCAGTTTTCTAAAGTCACCAAGAGGACAATTCCCATTGAGTGGAATCCTGGCATTGACCAGGTCAAAGAGAGAGTCCTGTTGGGGGTTTTTACATAAATTGATATTTATATATTGCAAATGCTTAAAAATATTTTATATGAGGTAAAATAAATATATATAGAAGCACCAAAATATGAGAGAACTTAATAAATGATTATAAGGCAGTCCCCTTAGTGACCACCACCAAGATCATTCCTTCTTCATCTAACGCTCAGTTAGTCTCAGCTGTACAAATCACTGCAAATTTACTACTGCATATGTCCTTGTGTTAATGTCCTTCTAGGCATTTCATCATGTGAATTTTATCAATTCTTCTGGAAGGAATCGTGAGAATAATATTATTTATTGTATAACATAAAGTATGACTTTGGAAGGTTATTGCTTGGTAAAGTGTAACTTTATGTTTTTATTCATGCATCATTATCACTTTTATTACATTTAATATGTAATAATTAATTTAAAAGAAAATGCTTTCTATTATTTTTAACTGCACACCACCCTGGTTTCTTGTACAAGGGATCCAACGTTTTGATCTTGCACTGAACCTACAGAGTTTCTATTCAGCTGTGCAGATGTTTAAAAACTCCCCAGCCCTCCCAGATGACAGCACCAGTGAGGGGACATTCAGGAAGAGGGGCCAGGAGAGGAAGCTTGTGTCAGCCTCACAGAGGCCTCAGAGTGACCTCAGCAACTGAGAGGGGCCAAGCCCTGCTGTGACCTGACCTTGTGAGGGGTTCCAGTGAGGCTAATTCTGCCAAGTGCTACATGGGCCTGTGAACAGTGGGCACACCATGGCAGGGCCCATCCAACAGTGGGAGGACCCCCTGCCTGCACCAACTTCCCTCTTGGTAGTTGTGGAACTTAGGATGGAGGGCAGGGGAGAGGTGGCAACTGCAGAATGTGGCATTTAAACTTGAAATGCCTGTGGAATCCAGCATTTGTAGATTAATCTGACCAGATTTTTAAAAATCTATTTCAAGCATGGATAAAAGATCGAAATAAAAATTAAATGGTGCTCATTCAAGTTGAAGAAAGTAATAATTTTGCATACTTAGTTTTGTGGCATATGCAGTCCACACCTAATACACCAGTGTTTCTAGTTGCGCTCCTTGCCACCATGGGGTCCTGTGGGAGGCAGGGTATGCCAGGCCAGTGGGGTGCCAGGGGACATTTTTTAAATAATATATTAATCAACAAAAGTTGTATAGTCTAGAAGGATGTAAAATGAACATTTAACTCTCCTCTACCCTACAGATATCTATATCTTCTGTAGACATTTACTTGGGCACTATTCCATAAATTCTCAATGTACCTTCAGGAATTTCTCTATATGTCGTTAAGAAATAACCCACCTCAGTATTTTATGATAGAGTTGTTCCCATGGCTCTGTTCACTTAGCAAGGCATCTTGCACAGTTTCCCAAGTCCCTGCATTTGGGAGATTCTCGCTGGGGTGTTTACTTTTCAGTTGAGCCAAAACTGGAAAACAAATCCAAATGCCCATCAACTGATGAGAAAAATAACAAGATGCGGTACCTCAAAGGAGAGGAGCTGAATATTGATAAATGCTGCAACATGGGTGAATCTCAAAAACATGGTTTGCAAAATGCCAGACACAAAAAACTACACAATGATGATTCAGTTTATATTAAATATCCTTAAAAGTCAAATTTACAGGAACAGAAATGAGTTAGTGGTTGCCTGGAGCTGGATGTGGGACATGAATTGACTGCAAACTGGTGCTGTCAAACTAGTTGGGCTGATGGAAATGTTCTAATATTGGATTATGGTGATATGTGATTTGTTAATCTATGAAAACTCAGCTAAAGTAAGTGAGATTTATATCATTAAAATATACCTCAGGAAATAACTAGCAATGTGTGCAGGGTTGGGAAGTATGTGAAATAAATTTGGCAAAACATTGATTGAGTTGAAGACGGGTGATGGGTATGTAGATTCATTACTCAATTTCTCCTATTTAGTGTATATTTGAAATTTCCCATAATAATAATAAAAAGGCTCCACTGAGTGTGGTGTAGGATGACGGAAACGCTGGGGTGTTGTGAGCTCTGAGTTTGTCCCTTGGCAGGAAGCACCTGCTGTAACTCTAACTCAGGCCTCTGAGCGTGGGTGTAGGGTCCATTAAACCTGAATTTGCTGCAGGCCTTGCTCACCTGGAACAGACCGACAGCGCCCCCTGGTGACATCCTCGAGAGAATATTAACAAAGATGGGAATTATTCAGAACAAAAGGTCCTGTTTCTTTCAGTACGTAAATATTTTAAAAATATTTTCATTATTCCACTTTATTTGGCACATAACACCATATTCATTGCTTGTCTGTCTTTGCTAATCCTTGTCGGTACTTTTTTCTCCAGTTGTACTAAATATCCTCCCCAATACCTGAAATTCAATCTAAGTGTCACCTATTCCTGAGCCCATCTAGGGAGGTCTTTATTCATGTACTGCAATTTTAGTTCTGGAACTTCCCTTTGGTTTGTATTTATAACTTATGTTTAATTTCCAAGATTCTAGCCTTTTTCCTTTGTTTCTGCAGTGCCCATCATTGTCCCTCAAGGTGGTTTTTTTTTTTGAGGAAGATTAGCACTGAGCTAACTACTGCCAATCCTCCTCTTTTTGCTGAGGAAGAATGACCCTGAGCTAACATCCGTGCCCATCTTCCTTTACTTTATACGTGGGACGCCTACCACAGCACGGCTTTTGCCAAGTGGTGCCATGTCCGCACCCGGCATCGGAACCGGAACCCCGGGGCCGCCGAGAAGCAGAAGTGCACGCTTAACCACTCTGCCATCGGGCCTGACCCTGAGGAAGCGTTCTTAAGGGTACAGTGAGTCACCCCCTGGCCCCATCACACCATGGAGAACTGCCTTGATAACTGAGTGTGACAGGTGTGAGAAGAGCAGTTACAGGGGTCTGCGTCCACCCAAAGGCAGTCACGTGCTCTAGACTGTAATCCAAGGCTTCTTGGCTCCCAAGGGGCTGGAACCCTGGGTTCTGCTTGTCTGGAGAGGAAACTGCATTTCTACTCTGCTTGTGTGGGGTGCTGAGGCATGGGAGGTTGGGTCCTGGGGAGGGGAGGTGGCCAGCAGCAGGGGCAGATATGTCGCCTGGGGCAGGATCAGGCCACCTCAGCACAGGCCAGCGCCTGGGGAATGACCATGAGTCTGACTGAGAGCCCGGGGATGAAGTCCCTCTTCATCCACTGCATGGAGTAGTGGGGCAGCCAGGCCAGGACGGGCAGCCTCCTCTCCACAGCTGCAGGGGGGCAGCAGCGGCCTGTGGGGCCATGCAGGCACCTGAGGGTCTGGCCTGACCCAGCACCTTCACAGAAGGAGGCAGCCTGGGGTGGGCGTGTGGGGACACAGACCAGCAGTCAAGGTCAGGACTCCAGAGACCCCAGCAATAGGCGGGGGTCCAGGGCATCAGGAGAGGCACAATCTCTCTCCCCTCCAGGGGTCTGAGCCTCCCCAACTTGCTGGTCTGAGAGGAAGCCAACAAGCTGTGCAGAGGGGCCTCAGCAAAGGCGGAGCACCCCCACGCCCTGCTCACTGCGCTCCCTGAATCCCCCTGCCCAAAGGCGAGGTGCCTGCTCTGCCTCCATCGACGTCCACCAGGAAAAATATGAGCAAAGTTCTCAGTGAGAAGCCTAAGCACAAATCTGACTCAAGATTTCTCCCTGGAGGATTAGTTTTTTGTTTTTCTTTCCTCCCCCGGGAATTTAACCAGGAGCAGTGGAGAGAGAAGCAAGGGCAGGGGGCACCCTCTTCTGATTGGCAGGGTGGGGATGGGGGACTGGAGGCGCTGAGGGTGCTGAGATTTTCCAAGGGCCCACCATGGCAGCCTCCACCCACAAAGGACACCGCAGCGCTGCACGAAGGGCGGTCACTCATCCTGAGGCCGCCGACCCCCACCTGCGGCATCTGCGTCCCTAGAGGGGCCCCAGGGTTTTATTTGGTCCTGGAGGACTTTAGAGGCTCCTTGATTAATTCAGGTGCACAGCATCCTCTAGGATCCCAGCTCCCCGTGTTCAGAGCTGGCCCAGGACCACCCCTCACCCCAGACCCCTGCGACACTGCTCTGGGCAGAATCCTGCTCCCAGCCCGCTGAAGGCGCTTGACCTGAAGGCTGGGTGTCAGCAAGGCTGAGGGCAGCGGGGACCTGCTGGAGACATGGCGGGTGGGGAATGGAGGTCCGAGCGGGAGGCGCCCGCCCCCTGAGATGCCACACCGCAACCCCCCGTCCGCGCTGCCTGCCCCCCACCCCTGGGCCCCGCACGCCGCCCCCTGGGCACTCACCTGGCGCCGTCTCAGCTGGGGGCCTCCGGACACGACCACAGCGAGTCCTCAGGCGTCTGAGAATCAGAGGAGCTAGGCGCGGGGTCTAGACTGCAGCGCTCAGGGGCGGGGCTTGCGGGGCTCCGCCGTCTGTCCCATCCTGGGCTCCGCCGCCTGCCCTTGGCTCCGTCTGTCCTGGGCTCCGCCGCCTGTCCCGTCCTGGGCTCCGCCGCCTGCCCTTGGCTCCGCCTGTCCTGGGCTCCGCCGTCTGTCCCATCCTGGGCTTCGCCTTCGTTCCACCCCTGGGCTCCGCCGCCTGCCCTTGGCTCCGTCTGTCCTGGGCTCCGCCGCCTGTCCCGTCCTGGGCTCCGCCGCCTGCCCTTGGCTCCGCCTGTCCTGGGCTCCGCCGTCTGTCCCATCCTGGGCTTCGCCTTCGTTCCACCCCTGGGCTCCGCCGCCTGCCCTTGGGTCCCCCTGTCCTGGGCTCTCCTGCGCGCCACAAATGTGCCGCTGAACCTCGGTGAGGGCGTCCTGCGGACCCGCTGCTGCCTTGGGCGCCGCCCTCCCTGGCCGCCTGCTGTCGCCCCCGGAAGCCCCCACTCGCCCCTCCCCACCAGCGGTCAGCTCAGTGCTGACCCAGGAGGCCTTCAGCCCCCACTGCCCTTCCTCCCAGTCTCCCCTCTGCTGCCCCCAGATGCTTCCTGGCCGGCTCCTGGGAGAGGAGTGCAGGGGAAGGACGTTCTCAAACGCTTTCTCCCTCACCATGGTTGGAAGGCTGGCCAAGGCCGCCGCAGGAGGGACATGTGATGGCTCCTGCCTCCTCAGTCAGCAGCATCTTGACTGGGTCTGGCTAGAACCTTCCACAGCACCTGCAGACTGTGATTGCTGGGTGACTATAACTCATGATTTATGAGGCCAGCCTGAAAGATTCAGTATAAGCACTCAGAAAATGCAATAAAACGTTTTGAAATTGTCCTGTCACTTACATTACATTGATTTACTTTCATTTATGTTCTTTTCATTGATTTACTTTCATTAGGTATTTGTGAGAGGCAATTATGTTCTGGTTAAAATGGCCTTTGGCATCAACTACAGATTAATGAAGACCTAGTTTTGTCATTACTGCTGGGATAACCCTGAGCACCTTGTTTCATCTCTCTAGCCTAGATTTCCAGCTCAGTAAGTTGGAGGAAAAGGTAATTATTCTGACCACAAAGCTGGTAGTGAAGTTAGATGGTTAGACAGTCTATCCACTATTTAGGGCTGCTTTTTGCACACAGTAAGGATTAGATGACATTTTCACAGGAATTTATGAAAAATCAATAAATAAGTTATAGTGGAAATCTGATTCAAGCTTCTACTTCTTCCTAACCACTGAGAAACTGGGAATCCCAAATGAAACCTCATTTATGTGCTCCCAGAATTTCCACTTCCCTCAAAAGTAAAGCTCATGGTCCTTATGAAGCTGCCAGCCCTTCCTGCTCTAACGACCCCTCCGCTCCTCACACAGATCAGGGCTGGGCAACTGGGGCACAGAAGACACAGTATGGGAGGAGACAGTGCCGTTCCGTATGTCACAGACGGCGGGATCTGCTGACTTCTATCTGTTCTTGCCCCCGACAGGATTCCTCTGGGAGACAGTGGGTGTGTGAGGCCTCATCAGTATCTGCACACACGCCCAAACTCCGCTCACCTCTCCTTTCAAAGAGGCTCCTTCAGTGCTGTCTCCACCGTGTCCAAGGCCCTGTGTGCAGCTGATAACAGGGAGCCCTGGTGTCTCCCTCAGCTTCCCCTCAGTCCACCCCTGACTCAGGCTGACGTGAGAGCTCAGTGGTGGTTCAGGGGACCTGGAGCTGGCGGTAGCACTGACCATTCTCATTGCTGTTCTGTGTCCAGATCTGCATTCACTGCTCTGGCTTCCTCATCCCGTGTCCTCTTTCTTACAGGTTGGTGAGGGGGGGGCATGATGGCACCTGTCCAGGCAATGACAGTGGCACACAGAGCAATTCAGCAGCATGAGCATGATGTATAGCCTCTATCTGAAAGAGCCTGGTTTTCAATCCAGTTTTGTTTGTTTGTTTTTCCAAATCTCAGACAAGATCTTTTTCAACTCCCCTCCAGTGATGGGTGAGTTTTGGGAATTGGGGTAAGATGAGTGAGACTCAGAACTTGCCCCCTGGGAGGGACCAGGGAGGAAGCAGCTGCTAGGTCCTTTCTTATCCCTGTGAGCAGGAGACTCCGCCCAGCCCAGACAGGACAGGGCTGCAGGGTCCCCATCAGCACAGGAGGCACCAATGCCCCAGCCCTGTGCACCCACAGTGCAGACCCTGGGGAGAACCACAGCGCCTCTTTCTGCTCCCGAGTCAGACTTCAGCTCTGGTGGAGATAATGTCAGGGGCACTGGCCTGAGACCTGGTCACTGTCACCACAAACATCCATGGGCCATGCACCCTACTGTGAGCCAAGATACTGGTATAAATTGACTGTTCAATTACTCAGAAAACAAAGCAAATACTTCCCCAAATCAGTAAATTATAAAAATCGACCATATAGTTTATGTACCAAGGTTTTGATAAGTTTTAAATTACACTAATAAAAAGGTAAATGTCTGTCATAGTTAATTGAGTGATTCCCCAAATCACAGGAGGTGGAAAGTGTGAGAAGTGGATATCAGGGGAGCATCAACTATCTCGCTGACATCCTTAAACCTGAACTTTCCCATATGCTTCTTTTCCTTCATCTTCACTGTGTAATGACGAGAAGCATCTGGCGTATGGAGCAGAAGAACAATGTGCTATGGGCCTAGCTTATGCATATTCATGAAGAAATGTTAAATATTAATCTGTTCTCCATCATCACATTAGTGGATGAGAGTAGGCCTGTCAATGCTGTTTGAATAAAAAGAGTCTCAAAGGTCGTGGTGGCGTCTCCGAGTCTCACTGTCGGTTGATGTATTTTGGAGCTGAGCCTCCCCCCATCATCACAGGCAGAGAGGGTGAGGGGAAGGAAAGTCTTGGAGGAGTCACCCTAGAAGGATGGACACAGCCTGGGAGAGGCTGGAGGAGGCACATGGAGATGAACCTCTGGATAGGAGGATGGGGCCATGGACCTCCCCCGATGGTGGTGTTACTGTCTCCACCCTCTCACTGGCTCTCCTGCCTCGAAGGGCTGAGCCGTTCTGAGCACAGGAGGAGGTGTTGGTTGCACTTCCCCATGGGTTTACAGCACTGTGTCAGTGTAACTACCCGTATACAGAGCACAGGAATAGTTGGCCTCGTCCTCAGGCTGGGCACCCGTGATGGTGAGGGTGGCTTTGTTCCCGGAGATGGATCCAGAGAAGCGATCTGGGATCCCAGAAGGGTGGTTCTTCATGTTGTAGATAACTCTGCAGGGAGCCTGGCCCAGGATTTGCTGGTACCAGAAAGGGTGGCTACTGGAAGAGATGGACCCAGAGCTAAGGCCACAGGTGAGTGTGACCGTCCCTCCTGGAGACACTGAGAGTGATGGCTCCTGGACCACCACAGTCTGAGAATCCACCCCTAAAACCACTGGGAGAGAGACAAGTGTTGTTATGAGAGACAAGGGTCAGCCTGAGACCAAGCTTTTATGTGTCCCCCAAGGATGCAGTGTCCCTTCACCTTACCTGAGCTGTAAGCAAGGAGCCCGAGAAGAAGCACCATCCAGGCTATGGTGGGGACACTCACAGGACGTCACCTCCTGTGCTCCTGGGCTGGAGTGTGGAGTGTGGAGTGTGGTGTTGGGGCTTTTGATGCCTCCCAGGCCCATTTGGAGAAGGTGCTTCATGCAAATCTGCTTCCTCTCTCTTCCTGCCCCAGTGTCATCCTTATGTCCCTGGGGGAGATCTTGAAAGACACAGATGCTGGGACCACACACAGACCAATGACTTCGCTGTGACTGAGACACTGAGTGATGGGGGTTGATGGCTTTCATCAAATCAGTTCCTCTGCATCCCTGGTGCCTTCATGGATGGAGACTCCAGAATTTCTTCTCTGTGATCCTGAGGGCTGAACAACGAGATGGGTGTGCTCTCCACCGCCTGGTCCCAGCATCTCGTTCATCTCAAATCCATTCCCATCCTTGGGAAGATTCTTCCTTCCTCAGCGAAATCCCTTCTTGTCTTCTTTGGAGGAGTCTGGGAGTCCTTCCTCCCTCCAGCAGAGTCCACTGGGGAATCACAGAGCCCATGTCTGGGGTGTGAAGGGACAGGGGTCTCCCCCGACTCAGTCCTGGACCCTGTCCCAGTAGCAGCAGTGGAGCTGACCAGGGCTGGGGTGCTGACTCACAGGGCTGCACTGCCAGACTTGGGATGGCTCCAAGAACCAGAATTATATGGAGTAGCTTCAAGGCAACTGCAGATTTTGAGGGAGAATGGTCAAATTATCGACGTGAAATTATGGAATTCCTCCCAAATTGATATCCAACAAAATAGGACTCCACGTGTTCATAATCAGGGAAAACAATAACCCTGCTCCTGAACAAGTGGGCGTGACCATCATGGAGCGTTTCAATCCCCTGCTCCCTTAGTCTCCTGTGGAGCAGAAGGAATGGGAAGGGGTGGGGGGTCTGAGAGGTAAAGGGAAGGCCCAGGAAGATAAACTTCCTCAAGCAGCTGGTAAAGAGAAGCCCCCAAATGGGTGTTGATCACAGTGTGAAATGAAAGCAGGGTTTGTTCTCCATTTCTAAATCTCTAGACTGTCGTCTGATTAATAGAATGTGCGTGGCTGTTCTTTCCTTTCTCGTCACGTGTGTTTGGAGGATCAGCTTATGTCAGCCCAAATGACTCATGCTGAGTTATTTTATGCCTAATAATCAACTAGATGTCTGAGACAGAAGAGAAATATATATATATATATGATATATTTAATATGTTTCAAATTTTGATAGGAGAAAATCTTTAAGATAAAAATAATTAGATAATTAAAATATCTGAAAATATAAATGACATCATTTTCCATAAACAACTAAGAAATATTACTGAAAAAAATGAGAACAAATAGACTAGAAAGACATATTTTCTAAAAATAAGACACTTTAAGGGCTAAAGCATTCATTATCCATTTCATCATGAATAAATTGAGAGGTCATAATCGCCAGCATTGTTTCCTGAACTCTGGAGGGAGC